CATCAGAAGGTGTTAGTCAGTGTTTCAATCACAACAGAAACACAGAAAACAGGACTGTGATTGCAAACGAAAAGTTTTGTTGAGCGCCATGTAGTTTATAATGAGGAAATTTTCAATTTAAATTCGGCGATCTCCAACTAAAGAAAATTGACGGATTCAATAAACGAATCGCAATARTCAGAACGGTATACGCATTTTGGTTTCGTGATTTTGATCAGAAAATTATTTTTATATAAAAATCAAGGAACGAGAGCAAATCGCACGAGTGGATGATAAATATTTAAAGTCTTATATTTGCATTCGGACATGCCGTGTTAAAAGAGCTGCGTCGCTAATTTATAGTTCAAACGATGATAATAATATGAGCCATCACAGCAGGTTATACAACAGGCGGAAACCTTTAAAAATAATTGACCGTAATATTGTATTCGTTTTCGAGGTTCAAATGCGAAACGAACAAAACCATCTACTACCTACACTAGGGCCGATAATGCGGTTGTAATAATATATATATATATATCATTACGATTTCGAACCATCACGTATCTGATAACAATAATCGAGTAAAAATATGTTAGTGCGTCTAGTGGACGATAATAATAGTCTGTTTTGAATACAGTATATACTATGCCCTGATTTTCCTCAGGTTGTCTCGGCCTCCGAACGATCTGATCGACTCGAGCAGATTTTCCCTGGGATCGATGTTCGTTGAAATTTCCCTGGGTTTTCTATACCGGCCCATTTGCAGTTTGCCAAATGTGTGCGACGACGACGGCGACGAGCTGCTGTCGGCGGCGGACGATTTCTTTTCCAACGGTCTCRACACCACGCTGCCGTCGTGTTCGCCCGCCGTCAACGAGACCGCTCGACCGCCGCGGTAACCGTAACCGTTGCTGAGTTTGGCTTGGGCTTTGATCGCTTCGGACAGGGCCAACACCGGGCTAGCCGTCTGCAGCTGTTCGGCGTACGGTTTCTTCAGTTCGACCGACTTCACTATCGGCACCCTGGACACGGGCTTGTCTTGGCAGTGGCCCGACTCGTCCGACGATCCGTTCGCGTGTTCCGCACCGTTTCCGGCCCTCATCTGTAACCTCTCTCTGATGCCGATGACGTAGTCCCGGTCGGTCTTGATGCTCACCTGTCTCTTGGGACGTTCGTTCCACGTGGATAGACTGATTTTCGGGGGACCAGTGTACAAATACCTCTTGCCGACCTTTTCGTCCTTGTCGACTGCGGAAGGTATTCGGGCTTCCGGTTTGTCGTCACGGCCGGAATCGCGTTGCACATCCGACATGCCGATTTTACCATCAGGCTCGACGTGGAGTTTGTTTTTGGATTGGACGTGTTGCGCGGTAGCTGGTGTCTCCGCGGTCACAGGTTTCTGCTCACACATGACTTCGTGACACTTAATGGGTTTAGGAAAAGCCACGGTCGCTTGCAGTTCGTCGGATTTCGTTGCTTCTACTTTTGGCRTTGACGCATTCGTTTCGAGGTCGTCGTTCTCGTTGTTCGGACGTCCGTTGTTTGTTTCTGATATCGTTTCCGAAAGTGATGTATTCGGAATATTGGAAACAACGTCGAAACTATAAAAATAATCGAAATGGAAATGAGTGAATTTGAGACACGCAAAATATTATTATGGTGTGTATTATATACGTAAGTAAATATTATTATATTAAATAGATCAATTTAAATAACCTAAATCGATTAACTGTGTATTACTCATTGTATAAAGATATTATAGGATTTAATGGGCAAACGCAAAATCCGGCATCGTTGAAGCATGTATAAAAAAATGTCGATGGTTAACTTAGACTCGATAGTTCTCATGAAATAATGATAAATCTATGAAAAATACTTAGAAATTATAGAATAATGTCTAATTATTTTAAAACAAAAAAATATTCATCATATGAAATTATTGTTGAATTTTTCTTACATTTTAATAAATACCAATGAAATCATGAAAGTATAACAACAACAACATAATATACATAATACGTGTATTATAATTAGTACAGACTAGAGTTGCGTTGATATGTTTGTTTTAGTGTATGCACTGTGTGCAGAATGCACATGGTTCAACACACGTCGATGTTTCAATAGTTTCATATCACATCAAATTCAAACACCAAATGTTATTTTGCATATTCGAAGGAGTATTGCATGCTAAATCATATTTTGTGCATATTTAATGTRAAGTGAATCAATACATTGAATTTAAACGGATTTCTGCGCAGGATTTGTTTTCTCTCTCTCTATACCTTCGTGTAACATTGAAAATTTGTATTCAGCGAAATGTGTTCATGTGTTGTTAGCTATCTATTATCAAACATTGAGTACAATATTTCAACTTTTCTGCGATTCATGAGCATTTTTAAAATTTAATTTTACATACTCATAGTATAAGTCATATACCTACCTAAAGTGTTAGCATACACATTGGAACATGTTTTGCGTGGGTCAGGCCGTCAGACAGAAAAAACAAATAGCGGGCTGACATGATGACATCTCTCATAATTCAAATTTACAGAAGAAAAAAACCCGTTGACACTGTTGTTGTTAATAAAGTTATTGTTAGTGTAGTATGAAAAATATTGCATTTAATATTTGAATCTATTGAAAATTTTAATCATTTGAATGTTTCTTAATTATTATAATAAATTGGCAAATTATGAATAGTTCAGTATTGATGTCCTGCGTAAAAGCAATTTTTAAACTATTTTTTTATGAAGTACATTAAATATAAATACAATGTATACAACCGCATTTAGTTAATTTTTAATTGCATATGACATTATTTGATTGAAAATAATTAATTCCAGGTTCTAAAGTATTGAGGAGGTTCGTTTACTAAAATCACCGAGTTTTTGACCACTCATAGAAAAAAAATATATATTTTTTTTTTACCTTAAATTATCATTTTTAGTATTTTCTTTGTGATCTTTAATTTGAGGGAGAATTGTTTTTAATATCTGAAACATAATACAAAATAGTTAGTTGTTTCTGTTGACATTTAACAATATTAATGAAATTAAAATAATACCTGAAGAGAGTGTAAGGGAGAAGATTGTTCTAATGTAGGTTCAATTTTTTTTGGTATTATATCGTTTTCGCTGTCGTTGTCGTCTTGACAATTTTCTAGCGCATCTACATTAAAACCAGTAATAACTAATAGCCATTTTAAACTTAGATATACAAAAATGGGAATTGTTAACTAACCTTCTGTTATGTTGTCTACGCTAAACGATCTTTTTACTGGAGACTTGTCGTCATAATTAAGTCGTTCAGAAGAATAAGTTCGTCCAATATAGTGTTTGGCCAATCGATTCGATGGTTTTATATTACCACTCAAGAGACTTATATGTGACGTACTTCGTTTGACTGTTACGGATAAGTTAGTTCTATCCATACTGAACGACTTGTGTCTATTAACRGAGTTCGTGGATTGCGTTTTGTATGCAGGATTTGATTCTCGAGCTATTTGTGTTGTCTTCCACGTTTTAACCGAATCATCACAGAATATTTCTGTGGGCCTAGAGCAATCTTCATCATAAGCCACAATTTTAAAATTGTTTAGTTTAGATTCTTTTGGTTCGACAATTTTAATGGGTTTTTCGTCTGCGTGTATTTTTTCTTCACAACTGGATGGCAACGACGAATCATCTGATCCAATTCCCGAGTCTTGAGGGAAACAGTGGTATTCGTCCCCAATTATTTTCTTTACAGACTCCTCAGCTGTGATCTTATCCTCTTTCACTTCAACTGGATTAATAGTAGGTTCCTCCTGAAGGACGACATCTTTAAGGTTGCCGATGGTTACTGTATCGAACATCGTCATTGCAGGAGATTGGTCATCTCTAAATGCCGAAGGAGGGTCAGGCAATTTGTATTCCCATTCAATATCTGTAACTTCTGTGTTGTTTTCTTTAATGGTAACGATAGACGGTGTATCGTAACCACTAGTTGCATCTCCGAATATACGATCGATTTCTTCATCGTCCATACGCAATTCGTCTTCGTCGGCAGTTGAACCTGTATCACACCACATTTAAATTATATGCGTGGCTTTAATATTTAAATTTATTCCGACACCTTAATTTAAATAAGCATATCAAGCAWAGAAAAATGAAAGAAGAAGTTTAGTAAAGCACCTGAAGATAATCGAGGTACTGTTGTCAAATCTCCAGGTTTGCTGGACGCCTGTGGTCGGTTTATGGTCGAAGATCGTATAGGTGGTTTAGGCGCTGGCCTTTTCGATTTCACTTCCGATTTGGATAAGTATTTACAACCTATTACAATCGAGGATGTGGGAGATGTGGGTTCAGTCAAATCTAGATAGGGTTTTAATATACATAGTTAAGCCAAGCAAGCCAGGATATACAATCGTGTAAAGAATAATAATATTATATACATAGTATTACAGTTGCAAGGGGTATTAAACTATTAAACATATTCTTCATTTTTACAAGCTAAAACATCATTCAGATGTTCTAAAAATTTATTCCAAGACTCAGTTTTGTATTGACTACTACAAACTGTGTTATTATCTACATTGTTTTKTGTTACTGTGGATTTATATTTATGAGTTGGTTCACTAGATAAAAAGCTTAAGGGCATTTTGGAATATTTTAGGACAGTAGGTGTTTTGGGTAACATACCTCTATCTACATCGGATCGACTAAGTGACGACAACGAGGATGTTGCTGGGGATAGATTAGGTTCAACTAAATTATTATTCAGTTCTATTCTGGAAACAGTTTTTGATTTTTGTTGTGGATCTGCTATATACAGTTTTGTAGTAACAGGCAGTGTTTGCGATTTTCTCTGTGTTTCCGGTTCGCTTTCAGATTCTTCTTGTGGTGGTGCAAGTTTGGGTTTATTGGCTAGTGGTGGTAGGGGTGCAGCTTTCTTTTTACGACCTAAAAATACAAAAATATTATTCATGAACTTATGRTTTACTTTAATGACAGTTAGGCGAGTATTAAAAAACACACACGACATTGTAAATGTATTAATTTTTAATACTGTATTCATGTTTATTATTTAAAACCATATTGTGAAATGTTTAAATTCTAAATACTAATTTCTAAATTATTCACGGTGAAAACAAATGGTTTTGTACTCACTTTGAATAGATATGAGTGATGTAGTAGATACGGAGTGTTTTGATTGACCTATGTTGTTAGACATAAAAGGCATTTCGGAAAACTGGTTCTGATTTTGTCCGCAAGCTTGGAGATTGGTCATTGAACGCGACATGGTCGGGCCAGACGTTTTAGTAGTAGAAAAATTCCCAGACCTCGTCATTCCAACACTGCTCGTGACAAAAAGGAAAAAATTAAAACGAATACATAGTATATAGATAGTATAGTAACTATATAATTATATTCATTTGAATAGTTTTTAAAAATTTACGCATTTTAAGAAATGTTGTAATTAATATTAAATAATTTGTATATTTTTTATTTCACCTGCAATCAACAGCATCACTAAGGACTGAAGATTCATGGTATCCACTACTATCAGAACTATTTCKYGAATGTGAAATTATTGTTTGTTCTTGAGCATTTCGTTGTTGCTGAAATTATTATTTTGCATTTTTTTTTTATTATTTCTATATATTAAATGATTAGATTTAAGTTGACGTGTAATTTGTCTTACCGATGGTGGTTTTGGTGCTAGTCTTCTTTTTCGGACTGGCCTGGATGGCAATACTTTGACCATTATTGGATGTCTACGYGGGGTGTCTGAAGATTCATCTGATCTAGTCGGACTCAAACTTCTACCACCCAAACTACCACTACTCAAACTATCATCACACTGTTAACATATTCATATATTTAAATGTAAATAGAATTATTTCAAATCAAACTATCAAGATTCACTTGTTCAGTTGTTCAACATCAACACATACTAGACTTGAATATATTTATTTGAATTTAGTAGGTATAATAACAAGTAATTAAATATTCAATACTAAACAAAATATTTAACATTTTATAAAGACAATTAGGTAGAGCTAAGTTGTTATATTTAATTAAAATCATAAAAAAACACATCAAGTTATAGTACCAACTATAGGTAAATACCTATTTTGAAATTKTAATTTAGATATTATATACTAATTGCATACAAATAATATTTTTTTATTATTGTATTGATTAATAATTAAAGTAATTTCGTGTTACGTTACCGAAAATTTTTTGGGTGTCCGGGACATGATGTCATCTGAAGATAGACCACCGATGAGAGCTCTATTTGTATTCAACACCAGAGACAATTGTTGTATTTTGTACTCGACTAATGTTTTACTCAAGTCCAAGGGCTCGTTCAATTTGTCTAAAAAAAACAATACRAAATAATAATAATGTGAATTGTTAGTTGTYATTCGTGACACTGTGTGTTACAAAAAATGGTGCCTCCGCTTAATTATTTTTACGAGTTAACATTGAAAGATAAGATAACAGTACTTGACAACGCAATGCGTGGAATTCGGGTGCAAATATATTATATATGTTAAAGAAGTAATTTTGTGCGCGTCAAATAGAATCTCAATGGCGTTCAATAATAGTAACCCAAACACAGAAGATTTGTGGAAAGTAATGCGGAAACAGTTTTCTCTGAGTGTTCGAATATTGCAAAACGTAAAAAAATTGATTTGATTTTATGGGGAAATGGTTTACATACAAGTACAGTCTGATTACCATACACGATATACAGATAAAAATCTAATTAAATTTATTTAAATATAAATTGTTTCGTTAATCGTACGATTTTCTTATTCATAGCAAAAACATTTGTGTATTCAGTAGTTGACACACATGAAAAAAAAATAAAATGTATTAACATAAATGCAGTAAATTCTAAACTCCGGTGTTGTATTTTATATATCAAATATAAGAAAAGTATTGAAATTTTGAATATAATATTAAACTAATATTTTAAAACTTGTACACAACATATAGCCTCAATAACTATAGCGTACAAATGTGTTACAATATTTGTGACATGTTAGGTGTGTCAACATGAAGTTATAAATATTTCAGAGGCTGTGACGACCTACTCATTTTATGTTAATTTCCATGTCCACTTATTATGCACACATTATTAATATTTAATATCCTACAGTGGTTCTGGTTCATATAGGTACGCACCTACCTGTATAGTAAATACTGTTTATCCTATATAATTATAGCTATAGATTTCTGTAATTATTTTATGATGATAAAACTWTAAAGTAAAAATGATAAGAATATTAGATGATTTCATGATTCACTATTATTAATATATATTACAAGACTGATTGATTAACTGTTTATTAATATAATAATAATACAAATATTTCGATAAACATTAAATTGCARTTATAATGATTTTATGCAGTCGYAATTACTGATGTTGCGTTACGTGATGTGTACTGCAGTACAGGCACACTATTACTACCTATGGGCTATAATCAGTTATCGGTAAAACTATTCGCTAAAAGGTCACCATGCAATAAACCATAAATTGACTAGATTACGATTACGTCATAATACTCGTATTATGACAAATAATATTGGTTTCTAGCTTCAATCCGAAAATTAGTTAAACTCGCAGACGAAATTTTAAATTAATATTTTAACAGGTGGCAAATCAGTAACTACCAAAGTTTGTATTGGTGTTACTGCTGAGGTTTAAGTTTTGAAATATGTACTCGAATACCTATGTGTTTTTTGAACGTACCTATATACTATATAATAATAAAAAATAAAACGCAATGAAAAYATACCTGGTTTCCTTAACGTATACTTGGCCGGATCAAGATTTTTTTCGAAACATACTTGCTTGAGAATGCTGTTAAGCTGCGTTTTTGGACTTATTCGGGACACGTACAACTGATTTCTCGGTAAATGTACCTATATATATATATATTATAAATATTGAGAAAAGTATATAGGATTTAAAATATTAAATATTTACGTAGAATAAAAGAAAAATATTATAGAAAAATTAATTACYTGAAGACGGAACGTTTGTTCGAACGGTTTTGTGATGCATTTCATAATGGACTGGCTTTGATACCTGCCATTTTTACTCAAGTTTTTAGGAATGATGTTTACTGTCCACGTATCTAGGGCACCTGTAAAAGAGAGGGAGAGAATACGATTAAAAGGTGTCAAAGGTCGCAAACAGCAATTTAGAAAACGCAACCGTTGCAGTTTCCCGGTAGTATATATTCTTGTGGCAGATAGCACACAATGTAATGTTTTTTTTAAAAAAAAAGAAGAAGAAACTGTCTGGTTATATTTCACTATCAAGTATAAACGTTGAATAATAGAGGGAAAAAGAAGTTTTTTTTTGTTTAAAAATTAAGGTGACGAATTTAAAACGAAACTTTCATCTGACAAAAATTTTCTGCTATTAAAAGTTATGTCACTTAGCAGTTTTTAATTTAGTTTAATGTCCTTTAAAGTCTAATGAATTCTACGTTCTGCCAACTACAATACTCTACAAGTTAGACATCATTWTGCATCTAATATATAGAATAAATGAATAAATTTTTTAACCGTCCAAATCTAATTGATATTAATCAAACAGGACGGTGAGTTGAACAATCTAAAAATGTTTCAAAGCCATTATTTCACTCAATTTTTAATAATCATTTGAATTTTAAATTAATTTGTTTTGATAGTTATATTTTTAAAATATGTAGGTACCTACTATTATTTTTCTTGAAACATAATATGTAATTAGGTACCTACATTAAATGTATGTAAAAAATTTGTGTTTTTTTTTCAAATCGAGTGTGAAACGCGTTTAATTAAAAATACTCGTCTATCGAAATAAATGTCCTCTAATAATATAATTGTATCGTAAATATGATCCAACCCACGTCGAAACCATCGATAAAATTACTTATACGAAATATGAACTTTTTTTTCATAATTTATTATTTTTAAAAGCTTAGTATTATTATTATATAAGTTATCGTATATATTATATACTTTATAAGCACATTTTTTTTTTAGTCACACAATCAAGGTGTACCTATTATATCGATTAATTCACAACTTTGACCCAGATTAAAGGTTAACCACAAAAATTTGTTCACAATAATCCACAACAAATTCCAATAGTTTTTTTTTGTTTTTACCTTTTGGTTAAGATATATATATATATATTGTATATACACAAGTAAATTATCACTTGCA